GTCATACATCCAAAATTTGATTCAGGGTCCCCTTAAGCTAAACCAAAGTCCATCCTATTCACAGTGTCTGCATAATTGTAGCAATCATGCCTCTGAGCCCTTACACAAATTCTTCAAGTAACTATTTTCATGGACTGTTCCCAGGTTTCATGTATGTGAGAGACACTCGAGGAAATATTAACTGAAAGACTCCTGCAGCCCTTTGCCCAGGTCAAAACTCCACCTAGTCACTTCACAACCGCGTACCTGGGGACAGGTCACCAAACCTGTTTGTGCCTTCCTTAGTGATAAAGTGGGGATAATAAAAAGAGCCCCTTTCTACAGTTGTTGGGAGATAAAATAAGTTAATGTTTGCAAAGTGCTTTCAATGATGCTGATTTCCCCAAAGTCACTTATCTACCTTATATTGCATTCCTTAGCCATAGACTAAGTGCTCAATAAATATTAAGAATTCATACTATTAATCTTATTACCTTAGCCCCAGCTCTCATAGGAAATTCCGAAATGCAGGAAGGGAACTCTTACCATAGAGTGACAACAAAAAGCAAAGCTACTTCGAAGGTTCATAGTGCCGTATGGTGAGCTGTTCACTCTCACCCTAACCCCCCACCCCATGCTGATATGCCTAGCTGAAGGGATGTCTGATATAACTGTTAATTACCAAATATTACCAACATTCCCTCTTCTAACTCCTGGTTTCTCCACATCCTGTTGTTCAGATATCATTAATATGTCTCACAGAGCCATTACTGAAGAGGAGTTTGCGCCTCAAGGAACACACTTGATATGGAAGGCTGGGGTAGGGGAGTGGGCCAGGTAGAAATGAATGACTCTTTCCAAAACATCAGCCTGGCCTCCTACATCTTGACTATTGCACCTCTGCACATACAGATAGACTCGGCTTCATTTATGTTACCAGGAAGAAAGGGATGGTCTTCTTCCCCTCATAAGAACTATACTTCCCCTCCCCATTATCATCTTTTTCTTGGTTGGCCCCATGGTAACTACTGGTCCTCTGTGAGCTTTCTTCCTTTTTCCCTCTGTAAGGCATGTTCTGCATCACTGCCATGAGATATACACATGTCTGGTATGGAGTAAAGCATAGATTGTCTGTAGTTCCTTAACTATTATTTTAGGTTAGGAGAAAAAGAGATGGAGAACAGGATCACTGTCTAAGAGTATCCAAATATTGGGTAATCAGGAAAGTCCTGATGCATTTTTGCATAGAAAAATACATCATGACCCAATAGATCACTTATCAATGTACACAACCCAATAGATCACTTATAAATACACACGACCCAATAGATCACTTATAAATACACATGACCCAATAGATCACTTATAAAAGAGAGAAAGGAAAAAAATCCAGTGGGAAGGTATTGGATGGTGGGAGAATCAGCGATCTTTTTTTTGCAATGATCAGTTCTCTAAGACTTCACTGGCTTTTTGCTGGAGGGTGACATTTGGATGCCTGGTCTTTTTTTTTTTTTTTTTTTTTTGAGAGATTTTCGCTATAGGGTGTGTGCACTCACCAGACAGACAGAGAGAAACATAGAGAGACAGAAAGCGAGAAATCACCCCCGAGGGGGGATGATCACGCCGCAATCCCTTCTCCATTCTCCTCTCTGGATCTTGGGCACGCATGCACACGCGCCCGGCGTGAGTTTTAAGCCACTGGGTCTGGGACGTGAACCGCGGTCGACTACGTGGGAGTCCAGCGACATAGCCATTACGCTAACTGCTGATTCCCTGGATGCCTGGTCTTGGCCAGGGTCACCATCCCATGAGGCAATCTGTGGCTAATAGCAATCTTGCTCCAGGTTGAAGTTGAGGTCCAAAGTTATAGAAAATAGATCATCTGTCCTCGAGTAGACAAAGGTTTCTTATGTGTTCAGTTATCTACTCTTTATCCATTACTTTTGTTATTTCTTCCCAAGTCTATTCTTCTCAAAGGCCATTCCAAGGCATTGGAATCTCAATCTCTCCAGTCCCAATCTCTCCAATTTGTCTTCTTCCAGCTCACTGTGATGGCCTTTGCTCTCTTAGTGTGCCCTTGGAGATCAGGATATGGTACTTGTGGCTTCTGTGCCTTTTTTTTTTAGAGCAAGAACAAAATTTTTATTTTCCCAGTCTTGTATAGGCTTTCGTTTTAGAGGATTTCTGAAAATTCTCTTTTATTTAATTATTTATTTTAAATTTTTAAAAATATACATTCAATCACATTATTTAGCTTACAAAGTGAACATTTCAATATGTGAACATTTCTAAGAGAGCAGAACCCTTGACATCTGGAGTTAAGCACAATAATATGGTGAGATACATCTCCCAAATTACTACTTCAAAGTGACCTTGCAGCATTTGATGCATGCTGATACAGACTCTCAGAAGGTAAAATGAGACATTCTGTTCATTTGCTCTGACATGGTGAAGTAAAATACAAGCAAGTATTCTGTAAATAACAAGCACTGAGTGACTGTAGGTTTAGATTACTTGTTCCATCCTCTCTCTCATGTCCCATTCTTATTCTTCCATCATTTCTTGTTGTATCAGGGTTTTCCTCTTACTTTCATGAATTCAGCTGAGCTTTTCTTTCTTTTGGAGATTTTGGCCTTAAGGCATGTGCACTCACCAGGGAGAGAGAAAAAGACAGAGACGTTGAGAGAGTAAGTGAAAAATCACCCCCCAGGAGGATGGTCATATCACAGTCCCTTCTCCTTCATTCTCCTCCCAGGATCTTGAGCACACACATACACACACCCAGAGTGTTTCAAGTCACCAGGTCTGGGACTCAAACCAGAGTCAGCCATGGGGGAATCCAGCAATGTAACTGCTACACCATCAAATGGCCCTTCAGCTGAGCTTTTAAGATAATAATGGTGGCCCTTTGGTAAGTCCCCATGATTTGACAATAGCTAATAAGCTGGGTTTTTTCTCCCAGCTCCTGGTTTCTCTGCATTCTATTATTCTGTTATCAGTAAGATGTTTCACAGTGGCACCACAACAGAGGCATTTTCTCCTCAAGAAAGATACTTGGTAGGGTGGAGTTGGGGAGTGGGCCAAGTACAAATGAATGACTTATTACAAAAACCTCAGAGTGGTCCCCTCATCTTGGCTGCCTCTTGGGCCTCTGCACATAAAAGTAGGCCCAGTTTCACGGATGTCACCAGGAAGAAAGTGCTCGTTTCCTCCCTCTTGTAAGAACCTTCTACATTCCCTTTCCTCATTACCACCTGTTACAGCCATCCTGCCTCAGCCTTCTGGTTGGAATTATATGAGTGTATCACCAAGCCCAGCCTTTTTTCAGATAGTCTTTCCCTGTATTGCTTAGACCAGCATTAGGCTTATAGTCCTCTTGCCTCAGTCTCCTGAGTTGCTGTGATTACTGAAACACGCCACTGTACCCAGTCTCCCTTATGGTCCCAGCCTGCAGAGCACAGGTCTTAGCAGCACATCTAACCATGGGCTGAGCCAAGAAGGTGGATTTTTGAAGCTAGGCAGTATTCATTTAAATTCTAACCTTATACCTTAACTAGTTTTGGATCATTTTCCCCTACCTCCACTTTTGCCATAGCTCTCTCTTAAATAGAATATATGATCCTTAACTTTGGGCTCACTCACATGACTGACTTTGACTGACTTTATGTGGGTGGAAGTATCCTTGAGCTAGTTGTGAGCCTAAGACTTAAGAGGCCTCATGTGCTCCACTTTGCTGCTTTCATCTCTACCATCACCGTGGGAAGAACACACCCCTGATAGGTCACTGGTTCAAGGACGAAAGATGCATGGAACAGAGTCACGCTGTGTGTGGCCAATCTCCTGCAAACCACAGACATATGACTTAAATAAGTACTTTGTGTTGTATGCCACTGAGAATTTGGAGTTGTTGTATAGCATGATGATAACAGAAGCTTCTCTAAGTCTTCTAACTAGAAAAGAAGGAATCATAATTGTACCTTTTGGGTGGGTTTTGAGGAGAGTGAGTGAGACCACGCCTATGAAGTGTTCAGTGAAGCACTTGATACACAAGAACTGGTCTGTACTTGTCTGCTATTACCATTACTGTCTGCCAGGAGTTCATGTTTATTAGTCCCATTTACGTGTACTTCACTTCTCCTAAGTGGAAAGAGCTGAGGTTTAAACACGTGAAACTCCCAAAGATTTGAAAAATACTGTACAAATATGTGATTGTCATTTCTATCGCTTTCAGATAGACAAATAAGACTGGGCTCCCAATGATCTGCGGGGTTGGTTTAGGAAAAAGAGAAGCTGGAGGGTGACTTCTTTGGAACCTCACATCAGAAAATACCATGGGACTACTTGGTTTTGCCGATAGATTAGAAGAGAACTGGTGACAGAGATGAAAATGAGGGGGTCTGAATGGTGGCATGGGGTGAAACACGAAGCTCTGTAAGACTGAGCCATGTAGGGAGGTTCTGGGTTTGTGTCTAGAGACCTTTCAGAGTATGCTAGATAAATGTGTGCTGTGACCCAGGGCTGGCAGAATTTGGGGGTGGATGCCAGCATTAAGACCCTGTTGGGAGTGCTCTCTCTGTCTATCTCTGTCTCTTTCAGAAGAAATAAATAAATAACCTTTACTTTTTTAAAAAAAGAGGTTTTTGTCTTAGGGAGCATGCACTCACCAGAGAAAGAGACAGAGACAGATACAGTGAGAGAGAGTGAAAAATCACCCCCCTGGAGGAGATGGCCGTGACTCAATCCCTTCTCACGTGCCCCGTGTGATTTTCAAGCCATCAGGTCCAGGACTCAAACTGGGGTCAGTCATGTGGGAGTCCAGCGATGTAACTGCTATGCTGCCTATGACCCCAATAAATAACCTTTTCTTAAAAAATGATGAAAACAAAAAGCCAATGATAGGACCTTTTAGTTAGAAACTTGGATCCAAAGATAAAGGATTTTCAACCCTGGAATAAATCCTGTAGGTCAGTATTTTACTACTATTTTAACATTGTTATGATTTAACTCATACTTTGTTCCATTTTGCGTTTTATTTTATAACTAGAATCTCCTGGGAGGGTTCTGGGTCCACAACCATGATATCATCAGAAGAGGTAGTGTCTGATCCATGAGGAACGCCGTGTTCCTGCGTCGCTTTCATTATGGTTTTTCTCTAGGGATAAAGAAAAAGGATATGTCCAAACAGGTGCCATGGCAGAACCCTGATTCAGCTTTGTTTTCCTGGAGCCTGGCTGAAGCAAGGTGTTATCAGAGCTTTCCAGGCATGTGCCTGGAAGTCCAGGATTTTCAAAAGATAAATGTTAAAGCCTATTTTTATTACGGGGCCAGGAGATAAAAGAGAAGAGGAAATACCCCTGGCTGTTCCTCCTGGGCATCAAACGCTGAGGTCTGCTAATTTGCAAACGTTCCTGTGGCTCTCTGTTCCCCACCACATAACCAGAATGCCTAAAACTTAAATATACGTTTGCAAAGAAATCTAGCTACAGAAGCCATTATTAAGTAAGTGTTGTTAAAATCACTTTGGCAAGATGGTAATGGGGCTCCACAGCCTTTATTACATAGTAGGAAAGACATATGTATGTATTTTTCTAGAATGAGGATGTAGGGGGCCAGCAGGTGGTGTGGTGGTTGAGGCAATGGCCTCCCAAATGGTCAACCACAGTTCAAGTCCAGGACCTGGCCACTTGCTTTCTCACTTTCCCTCTCTCTCCCTTCATTTCTCACTAGTGAGCACACATGCCCTATAGCAAATTTAAAAACCATAATAATAAATAAAAAATAAATAATTATTTTTAAAAAAGAAAGAGGATACATACATTTTTATATTTCTTATTATTTTTCAGGGGGTCTATAATCCCCCATAGAAAAGATAAGAACTATTATTTCAGAGGAATGCTAGTTGAATTTAAGCAATTTGGTTAATTAGCAGAAATCAATTAATTCAGTTAATGAGAATATTTCCTTCTTTGTCTTCATGCAGATCATCCTTTTTGTTACTTCAAAAGAAAACTGTTGATAGAGAAATCTATTACCCCATTCTTTTTCATGATGAAGCACCTGCTATCTTCCCAAATGTATTTTGCTCTTTTAACCCAAACCTGACAACTAACCTACTCAAGGCAGTTAAGCTGTACCTCCAGGAAACAGTTGTGTATGCTGACCTTCATATACTGAGTTTAAAAATGAAAACCCATAAATGCTTTTCTGCGTCTTTGGTGCTCTCTGAAATAACTCATTAATTATTTGAACACACCAATCAGGTAAAATCTCAACAAACAATTGCCATGGAGCAAAAGGGCCAAAGAACTGAGGGCTGTCTCCATTCCGACACTCTCCCTGGACGTGTGGCTTCTGCTCTGAGTCCTCGGTCCTGTCCTTACTGGTGTAAATAAGGTTGCCACTTCTTCCAGAGATCCCGAGGGCAGGATCCTACTGGTGCCAGGCACTCATTTACAGTAAGCAGCGTCTGTTACCAGCCTCGGGAGCAGAAGGCGGGAGTAATGATCAGAGCTCTCTGCAACAGTGGCCTCCCCGACCTACTTACTTGTTTTTAATTAAGATGATAATGCAACACCTTTTTGTTTCCTTCAGGAATTGGTGCTTTCCCATATGAAAGACAGGAGAACAAGGCTCTGTGTGCCCAGATCTTTGGTTCTAAAGATAGAAGGCTATGACCAAGCCCTTGTTTTGCAGTTGGTGGCCTTGGAGGAGGGATGACAGAGGGTTTTCCAGGAGATGGCAGTGTACTCCAAGGCTGCATCCTGGCTGTGTCTGCCTCCCATATCAACCCAGAATATTGTAATGGAGACATAACATGATAATGCATTCCGGACCACACAGCTGCTCAAGAGTCACCTCAAAATGCTTCTTCCCAGATTCAAAGTCACTGTAACCAGGGTAGGGAGATGGAAGTGAGGTAGAAGGAAGATGGGGACAATGGGAGGGGGTTCATACAAACAAATGGTGACACTTGGCCTTGCTGGGAGTGGGCTTTCAATCCTGTAAGGCCAGGAGCTACCCTGATGCATATTTACAACTGTTCTCAGGCTCACCTCTGAAGACCAATAAAAGGAAACCGAAGGACTTGTATTGTCTGCATTTTAATTTTCAGGTTTACAAGAAATATTTCATTATTCTAATTCAGGGAGAAGTAAAGCATCTTCCCTTTTTAATGAAAGGTCTCCTTGTTCAGGGTGAAGAGCATAGCAAATCAGTCTCTCCTCTGAGAGGCAGGGCTGGCCCCCGATCTGGGCGGCTAGGGGAATGGCGATGAGTAGGTGATGGGAGGAGGAAGGGAAAAAAAAATAAAAACACAAAAAACTGGCCATGGATAGAACTCTACATGTGAGACGCATAAGAAATGTATTCACCTGATTACATTACAGGTAAGGCAGACCGAGGCTGTGATTCCTAATATCTGACAATGACAGATCAGGGCAGACCAAGCCACAGGAGAATGAGAGGGAGGGGAGGCAAATGTCTTTGCCCTGGGAGAGGCCGTTGGTTGTGGTGGCACATTTATAGAAATGGAAGAGCCCAATAAAACAGAGTAAGGGGCACGGCAATGACACTTTAGTACTGTCACATAATTTACTAGATGTGTTCATTGCTCGGGAGCCTGGTTTCCTATTTACATGGTTCTTACTTGTCTCTCTTTGTTTATAGCTCCTTGGACTTTGCCAGAGACCTCCATATGGATGAGAGCAGCAGGGTCAGCAGGTGATGCTTAGGAAATCTGTACAAAGGAAACTAAAATTTAAAGAAAAAGCCCAGCCTTTAAGTGTCTTTGAACCCATCTGTAGTCTCCATGGGATTTCTCTTTCATTTGTGCAGAAAACTAGTTGCTTCCTGTTGTTCTTAATCTTCTTTCACTGAAATTTGTTCTATATTCTCTGCAAATCCTTCCTTCAGTAAACTCTCTTTATCCTACCCTCTTACCTAATTCTAAGAGTAATTTATACCTAAAAGGCACAAAGGTAGTGTTTCTATGCTTTTCTGATAGTATTTCAAATGTGCCTGCCCTTGCCACAGCCAAATGATGTTTCTGTTTGGGGGATTTGTTTTGGTTTTTTTTCAAGCTAGAAGACAAAGCAAACAAAAAATTCAAATGAGAAGTTTGTTTTTGAGTACTGGGGTAATGTTCTTCCGATTTCCTTTGCTAAGAAGCCAGTCCCTTCAAGCCAAAACCAGGCTGCTTTCTCAGCAAATAAGGAAGAAGGGCCCATTTTGCAGATAGTGACAAACCATTCATCAAGTGAAAAATTGGATTGTTTAATGGGGGGGTGAGTGTCAGTTCAAGGGGGGCACATCAATAAGCAAGCGAAGAAGGCAGAGAGAGGGTTGCTGGGAGAATTATCCAAGCCGGCAGACATGTAGTGTAGAGACTCAGCAGAAAGCAGAAGTAGAGCAGACTCCTCCGGCAGTGCTAGACACAGAATGTTCAGACTACTGCAGAAGGATCAGGTACAAGACGAAAGCAGTGAAGGTGGTGGAGGCAGTGGAAATGATCAGGGATACCTATAAACATTTATGGTAAGGCAGTGAAGTCCTATATGCCAAATAAATAGACATTGGCTGGACCACAGAGTAAATGCACGTTCACTCTCAGCCACCTACACCATAACAGGAATCCTAAGCAGAACACAGGGAGAGTTCAAAGATGTGAATTGGCCCCAAGGAGACACCAACTCCCCTCCCTAGAGAGAGGAATGCATGGTCTACCCTCAGCTCATTCTCGTTTTACTTACCTGCTCTCGTCTCTCCTATTTACTATTTATAATGCTCATGCTTCTCAAGATTAAATGATTTTCCAAAAGTATCTTTGAACCTCAATCCAAGGAGGGAGGCATGTGCCTGATGGTCAATGATCTGAATTTGGGTAGCTCCTATCTGGCAGGAATGTCATATCATTAGCCGTATTTCAACTCGTAACTATCTGTCTAAAAGTCTGAGAAGGTGGTGCGAAGATAATTCAAATTATTCCTCAAAAATGGTGTCACAGTATACAGAAAATGTGCAAACCTAAAAAGCACATCATCAAAAGTCATTGAGTGTGTGGATCAGTGTTCCATCTTGTTCATTGCAGAGGGGAGGATAGAGTGAGGATTGTGAGGGAAGCCCAGACCACACAGTTCCGGAACATGCAGCAAACCTGAAGCTTTGGAATGTCTGGACACTAAGAAAGAGTTTGATTTCACAGGTTAGTGCAGTAAAATTGGTGGGAAAGATATTGAGACATCTTTTATGTGAGCATATTACTGACCAGGGTTTATTTGTGGTTCCTGATAGTGGTAATGTTTGCCTTGAATCAGCTGCCAGATCTGCAAAAAAAAAAAAAACATTTTCTTCTACTGGTTTTTTTTTAAGCTTGAAAACATAGGACTAGGAGCAATATCTAAAATTGTCTGATCCAAACTTCAGTTATTTCAGCAGTGGAACTCTTTGTGAAACACAAGCAAGCTAACAAAAGCAAATCTTAATGAAACTTTATACACTTAGAATTATTTAGTTGTAGGAAAGAGAAACCAATGAGTTAGCAAAAGCATAAGGAATTTACTGAAAGAATCATTTCCATATGATTGAAAGGAAGATGAAAGCACAAAGCATAAAATACACAAGTAAAGGAACCAGGTAACAATAAGTGGATTCTCACCTCTCTTCTGCCCTAGTGGCCACTGGCTTAAGGGTCAAAATCTAGGGAGAAAGAGTTTGCCTAAGCTTGGGTTACAGGGTTGGCTGTACCTGGGTGATGAGAGCTTCTGGAAGATGGACCCAACAATCTCTGTGGCTAATAGGGTACCTTAAAGCTACATACAATATGGATATTAGGTGCTGTTAGAAAACAGTAATGAGGGCTAGTCAGTGGCACAGTGGTTAAACCAGTTAGACCCCATATGACTCACAGTGCAGTTTCAGTCTCAGACCCACAGCTTAAGGAACACACTGGGTATGTATGCACACATTTGGCATATATACATATGTATCCAAAACACTGAGATCCAAAATCCTGAAGAGAAAGAAACAGAAAGGATCCTGGCCTACTCACCCCCCCTCCTTGGGGGTGCTCTCACACTTTCTCTGTCTCTCTCTCTCTGGTGTGCACACATGCCCCCCATAACTAATTTAATAATAGAAGAAGAAAAAGAAAGAGAAAGAAGGGAGGAAAGAAGGAAGGAAGGAAGAAAAAAACATAGAAAGAAAGAAAGAAGAAAGAAAGGGGAAGAAAGAAAGATAGGAATGAGTGCTGATAAGTTCACATCTATGAAACACACAAATCACATCAAATAAAAGAAGTGGTAGAAATTGAGAAGAGAAAAGGAGAGGAGCCAAGCCCCATCCATAAGCCCTTATGGTGGTGTCTGAGGCATTCCATGGCACAGAATGAAAACCACCAAGCTGGCTCATCTGGCAATTTGGTATGATAGGATGTAACTTGACATCCTCCAGATATTTAGGGAATACTACCTTTTTTTCCCCAATTTCCTTCATAAATGCTTAACTGTCATAGTTATCATTTCAATATCAACACTGAGTGTTTGCTATTATCAAAATCCTATTGTGGAAATCATTAGTGTAACCCCAAATCTGTACAGTTTTCCACCTCTGGTCTTATGAGACGATAATACTTTTCCTCATCTTCTTTGAAGAAATATGAGTGAAAAGGGTGGACCTCACTTCCAGGCAGATTTTTCTTTTTTAATTGCCAGAGGGCACATGGGCTTGCCAAAGAGAGAAAGGGTTTTAGAGTGAGAGAGAGGGAGGGGATAGAACACTCCCCAATGGAGTAGTGTGGTCACACTACAATCCCTTCTCCTCCACTTACCCATCCTGTTGGGATTTGGGCATGCATAAATGCTTGGGGTGCCTTCCAAACCTTCAGGTCTGAGATTCTAACTGTGGTTGGTCATGTGGGATCTTGCTCCCTTAATCAGTAGGTGATGGACCAGCCCCCACGCAGACTCTTTCTTTTTCTTTTTTTTTTTTTTCCCTGGTTTTCTCTCTCCCAGAGGGCACATGTAAAAGAGAGATCAAGACAGAGTGAGAGAAAGAAAGCACTCCTCCCCATAGCAGGGTCTCCAGTTCCTCCCACAGTCAGAATCCCAGGCATATATACTGTGCACCTGGCATGTTTTACAAGCCAAAGGGGCTGAGACTTGAATCCTAGCTGGCCACATGGGATTTGTCTTTCTCTGCCTAGCACCGAACCACTGCGCGATGTAGTCAGCCCCAGGCAGACGTTTTAAGACCCAGTGCACAACTTGCCACACATTCTATCTGCTGTTGCAGTGATCATGCAAACCTGTGGCTATATAAGGCCTTCATCATTCAAGGCCCCTAACTATAGCTGATCCTGCTG